ATGTCAGGTTGACTACAATCGAGTTTCGACGAAAAGGAATTAAATTCTAAACGTAAAGTAACCAAAAAATGACGTAAAAAAATGATTTTTTTCCTATTTATTGACTGCAGTAGTCCAAATGTTTGCATAAGTCTTTCGGAGTTATCACTTTTTATTTGTAAGTATACGCTTTAAAGYTTGGAAAGAAACGTTTCATAGCGTCTGTTAAATAGCACTTCTTTAGATTGTTTTTAATTTTTAACTACGCTGTAATCCAGAAAGTAGCGAAAATTTTTTTTTAGATATATTAAAAATTTTTTAAAGAAGGGTAAAATGTGCTTTTAGAAACTATACAGGAAAGATGTTTTGTTTACTACATTCGAATTTTGTTGAAATATAATTGAATGCTACACGAAAAGTAACCAAAAACTGTTTATTTAATTTGCAAATAAGTTATCGCCGTTTTTTATTAAAAATTAGCTATTTATTCTAGAAGTATGGTAATTTTAAGGTTATTTAAACTACTGTCCATTATTTGCAATGACTTTTTCCCATCTTTGAGGCAACATTCAGATCTCAGGTCGGAAGAACTCTTTGTCTTTTGATGCTATTCACGAATCAACCCAATTTTTGGGATCTTCATATGATTTGAACCGCTGCTCCGACAGAGCATGTACTATGGACCGAAATAGGTGATAATCGGACGGTGAAATGTCTTGTGAATACAGCGAGTGGGGAAACACTTCCCAATCGAGTGTTTCCAAATACTTTTTCAAAGGAGCTGTTACATGTGGACGAGCTTTGTCTTGCAGGAGAATAATTTTTTCGTGTCTAGAATAGTATCGAGGACGTTTTTCATTTAGAGCTCGGCTCAATCTCATTAATTGTGCTCAATAGAGGGCTCCGGTGATTGTTTCGCTCGGATTAAGCATCTCATAGTGCACTACACCAAGCTGATCCGACAAAATTCACAGCATGAGTTTTTTCCGTGAATATTCGGTTTTGCTGTTGATGTTGACGCATGGATTGGTAGTCCCCATGATTTTCTTCATTTTAGATTATCATAATGTACCCATTTCTCGTCACCAGTGATGATACAATGTAAAAAACCCTTTTTTTATGTCTAGCAAGCCGTATTTCACTTAAGCATAATCGGCGTTCAATATCTCTCGGCTTTAAATCGTACGGAACCCAATTTCCTTGTTTCTTAATAATTTCTAATGATAATAAACGATGTGAGTCTGCTTGCTGAGTGACTTCATATGTTACAGCAAGTTTTTTTTGTGTTTTAGATGAATCTTCCACCAATATTTCCTCTAATTCTGCTTCCTAGTAAATTTTTGGCCTTCCACTGCGATCTTTGTCTTCTACATGTAAATCACCGTTTTTAAAATTTTAAAACCATTCACGACACGTTCTTTCACACAAAACAGTCTCACCAAATGCTTCTACGAGCAATCGTAGCGCCTCAGCAGCAGATTTCTTTATATAAAAGAAGTAAACTAATATTTCCCGCAAATGACGCTTATCTGGCTCAAATTTGGACATATTCAACTAAAAATCATTATATTTTACCAATATGAAATCAATAATATTAATAAGTTCTGTCGTTCTTAAACGTCCAAACTAATTATTAAGCAGGATATCATCTGCRAAAGTTAACGGAAACTCTGCGCCGCGCTATCTACATTAAAAAGTCGGAAACTTACTTGTACACCTAATAGTAAAATAGTTTTTTTCTGTTTTCTTTGACTGCAGTTGCTGTAAAATTAATAATATGTGCCAGATTTTATTGGACCGAACACTTTTCTTTTGTAAGTATACGCTTTAAAAAATGATAGAAAATTTTTTATAGCTTTTGTTATATAACTCTTTTTTAGAAATTTTATTGTTTTTTAATACAGTTTTAATCTAAAAAGTAGCAACAATTTCCTTTTAAATATACTAAAACATTTTTAGGAACTGTAAAAATGAACTACTAGAAACTAAACAGAATGGAAGTCAGATTTACTACAATCGAGATTTGTTGAAAAAGAATTAAATTCTTCACGTAAAGTAACAAAAAAAAGTCGTAATAAAATGATTTTTTCTCTTTTCTTAGACTGCAGTTTTTAAAATATAAATTTCAATAATAGATATTATTCGAACTAAATCATTTTATTTGTTAGTATACGCTTTAAAACTTRAAAGAAAATGTTTTCTAGCTTTTGTTCTATAGCATTTCTTCAGATATCTGATAGTTTTACGTAATAATTAAGCTAAAAAGCAGCGAAAATTTTTCTTAAATATATTGAAAAGTTTTTAGCGAAGGTACAATGTGCTATTAGAAACATAACAGAATGGATGTCAGGTTGACTACAATCGAGTTTCGACGAAAAAGAATTGAATTCTAAACGTAAAGTAACCAAAAAATGTCGTAATAAAATAATTTTTTTCCTTTTTCTTGACTGCAGTAGTCCAAATATGAATGATGTTTGCATAAATTTTTTATACTTAACACTTTTTATTTGCAAGTATACACTTGAAAGCTTGAAAGAAAACGTTTCATAGCGTCTGTAAAATTGCACTTTTTTAGATTGTTTTTATTTTTTAATTGCGCTTTAATCCAGAAAGTAGCGAAAATTTCTTTTTAAATATAATAATACATTTTTAGCAACGGTAAAAATTAACTACTAGACACTAAACAGAATAGATATTTGGTTGACTACAATCGAATTTCTTCAAAATATAATTGAATTCTACACGTTAAGTAACCAAAAAAAGTTGTAAATAAATGATTTTTTTCTGTTTTCCTCGACTGCAGTTGTTGTAAAATAAATGATATATGCTAGATTTTATTGGACCGAACACTTTTTATTTGTTAGTATACGCTTTAAAACTGGAAAGAAAATGTTTTAGAGCTTTTGTTCTATAGCATTTCTTTAGATATCTGATAGTATTTACTTATAATTAATCTAGAAAACAGCGAAACTTTTTCCTAAATATATTGAACAATTTTTAGCAAAGGTACAATGTGCTATTAGAAACATAACAGAATGGATGTCAGGTTTACTACAATCGAGTTTCCTTGAAAAAGAATTGAATTCTAAACGTAAAGTAACTAAAAAATGTCTTAATAAAATGATTTTTTTCCTTTTTCTTGACTGCAGTAGTCCAAATATAAATGATGTTTGCATATTTCTTTCCGACTTAACACTTCTTATTTGTAAGTATACGCTTTAAAGCTTGACAGAAACGTTGCATAGCGTCTTTTAAATAGCACTTTTTAGATTATTTTGAATTTTTAACTACGCTTTAATCCAGAAAGTAGCGAAAATTTCTTCTTACATATATTAAAAATTTTTTAACGAAGGTTAGAATGTGCTTTTAGAAACTATACAGAAAAGATGTTTGGTTTACTACAA